CTGTCACGGTGACGGGTCTTGTCACGGTGACGGGTCCTGTCACGGTGACGGGTCTTGTCACGGTGACGGGTCTTGTCACGGTGACGGGTCCTGTCACGGTGACGGGTCCTGTCACGGTGACGGGTCCTGTCACGGTGACGGGTCGTGTCACGGTGACGGGTCCTGTCACGGTGACGGGTCCTGTCACGGTGACGGGTCCTGTCACGGTGACGGGTCCTGTCACGGTGACGGGTCCTGTCACGGTGACGGGTCCTGTCACGGTGACGGGTCTTGTCACGGTGACGGGTCCTGTCACGGTGACGGGTCCTGTCACGGTGACGGGTCCTGTCACGGTGACGGGTCCTGTCACGGTGACGGGTCCTGTCACGGTGACGGGTCCTGTCACGGTGACGGGTCCTGTCACGGTGACGGGTCCTGTCACGGTGACGGGTCCTGTCACGGTGACGGGTCCTGTCACGGTGACGAGTCCTGTCACGGTGACGAGTCCTGTCACGGTGACGGGTCCTGTCACGGTGACGGGTCTTGTCACGGTGACGGGTCCTGTCACCAGTGGTCACGTTAGTGTACAACAGTGATTTGGTTCTGGCTTTGATGCTCCTCCCCCATTCTATGAGTGGTGGTGGGTCCAATACCCATCCTGTGAGTGGTGGTGGGTCCAATACCCATCCTGTGAGTGGTGGTGGGTCCAATACCCATCCTGTGAGTGGTGGTGGGTCCAATACCCATCCTGTGAGTGGTGGTGGACCCCATACCCATCCTGTGAGTGGTGGTGGGTCCCATACCCATCCTGTGAGTGGTTGTGGGTCTCATACCCATCCTGTGAGTGGTGGTGGACCTCATACTCATCCTGTGAGTGGTGGTGGAACCCATACCCATCCTGTGAGTGGGTGAGGACCCCATACCCATCCTGTGAGTGGTGGTGGACCCCCATACCCATCCTGTGAGTGGTGGTGGACCCCATACCCATCCTGTAAGTGGTGGTGGGTCCCCATACCCATCCTGTGAGTGGTGGTGGGTCCAATACCCATCCTGTGAGTGGTGGTGGGTCCAATACCCATCCTGTGAGTGGTGGTGGGTCCCATACCCATCCTGTGAGTGGTGGTGGGTCCCATACCCATCCTGTGAGTGGTGGTGGGTCCCATACCCATCCTGTGAGTGGTGGTGGACCCCATACCCATCCTGTGAGTGGTGGTGGGTCCCATACCCATCCTGTGAGTGGTGGTGGGTCCCATACCCATCCTGTGAGTGGTGGTGGGTCCCATACCCATCCTGTGAGTGGTGGTGGGTCCCATACCCATCCTGTGAGTGGTGGTGGGTCCAATACCCATCCTGTGAGTGGTGGTGGGTCTCATACCCATCCTGTGAGTGGTGGTGGGTCCCATACCCATCCTGTGAGTGGTGGTGGGTCTCATACCCATCCTGTGAGTGGTGGTGGGTCCCATACCCATCCTGTGAGCGGTGGTGGACCCCATACCCATCCTGTGAGTGGTGGTGGGTCCAATACCCATCCTGTGAGTGGTGGTGGGTCCCATACCCATCCTGTGAGTGATGGTGGACCCCATACCCATCCTGTGAGTGGTGGTGGGTCCCCATACCCATCCTGTGAGTGGTTGTGGGTCGCATACCCATCCTGTGAGTGGTGGTGGACCTCATACTCATCCTGTGAGTGGTGGTGGAACCCATAACCATCCTGTGAGTGGTGGTGGACCCCATACCCATCCTGTGAGTGGTGGTGGACCCCCATACCCATCCTGTGAGTGGTGGTGGACCCCATACCCATCCTGTGAGTGGTGGTGGGTCCCCATACCCATCCTGTGAGTGGTGGTGGACCCCATACCCATCCTGTGAATGGTGGTGGGTCCAATACCCATCCTGTGAGTGGTGGTGGACCCTTTACCAATCCTGTGAGTGGTGGTGGGTCCCCATACCCATCCTGTAAGTGGTGGTGGGTCCCCATATCCATCCTGTGAGTGGTGGTGGGTCCCCATACCCATCCTGTAAGTGGTGGTGGGTCCCCATATCCATCCTGTGAGTGGTGGTGGACCCCATACCCATCCTGTGAGTGGTGGTGGACCCCATACCCATTCTGTGAGTGGTGGTGGACCACATACCCATCCTGTGAGTGGTGGTGAACCCCATACCCATTCTGTGAGTGGTGGTGGACCCCATACCCATTCTGTGAGTGGTGGTGGACCCCATACCCATCCTGTGAGTGGTGGTGGACCCCATACCTATCCTGTTAGTGGTGGTTTAACCATACCTATCCTGTTAGTGGTGGTGGACCCCATACCCATCTTGTGAGTGGTGGTGGACCCCATACCCATCCTGTGAGTGGTGGTGGGTCCCATACCCATTCTGTGAGTGGTGGTGGACCCCATACCCATCCTGTGATTGGTGGTGCGTCCCATACCCATCCTGTGAGTGGTGGTGGGTCCCATACCCATCCTGTGAGTGGTGGTGGACCCCATACCCATCCTGTGAGTGGTGGTGGACCCCATACCCATCCTGTGAATGGTGGTGGACCCCATACCCATCCTGTGAGTGGTGGTGGACCCCATACCCATCCTGTGAGTGGTGGTGGACCCCATACCCATCCTGTGAGTGGTGGTGGACCCCATACCCATCCTGTGAGTGGTGGTGGACCCCATACCCATCCTGTGAGTGGTGGTGGACCCCATACCCATCCTGTGAGTGGTGGTGGACCCCATATCCATCCTGTAAGTGGTGGTGGGTCCCCATACCCATCCTGTGAGTGGTGGTGGACCCCATACCCATCCTGTGAGTGGTGGTGGACCCCATACCCATCCTGTGAGTGGTGGTGGACCCCATACCCATCCTGTGAGTGGTGGTGGACCCCATACCCATCCTGTGAGTGGTGGTGGACCCCATACCCATCCTGTGAGTGGTGGTGGACCCCATACCCATCCTGTGAGTGGTGGTGGACCCCATACCCATTCAGTGAGTGGTTGAGGGCCCCATACCCATCCTGTGTGTGGTGGTGGACCCCCATACCCATCCTGTGAGTGGTGGTGGACCCCATACCCATCCTGTGAGTGGTGGTGAACCCCATACCCATCCTGTGAGTGGTGGTGGACCCCATACCCATCCCGTGAGTGGTGGTGGACCCCCATACCCATCCTGTGACTGATAATGACCCTATACCATCCATTGCAACTTGAACTGACTCAACACAAACTTTCCCTTGCAAGACACAATGAAGAGCTAGAACAAAAATACAGACAGACATGTATTGTTCATAACCATTAACTGTGGAAAATTTTGTGGAGAAATTTGAACTCTTAGAAGACATGGTGGGTATTATAGTGGGTATTATGATGGGTATTATGGTGGGTATTATGGTGGGTATTATGATGGGTATTATGATGGGTATTATGGTGGGTATTATGGTGGGTATTATGGTGGGTATTATGATGGGTATTATGGTGGGTATTATGGTGGGTATTATGGTGGGTATTATAGTGGGTATTATGATGGGTATTATGGTGGGTATTATGGTGGGTATTATGATGGGTATTATGATGGGTATTATGGTGGGTATTATGGTGGGTATTATGGTGAGTATTATGATGGGTATTATGGTGGGTATTATGGTGGGTATTATAGTGGGTATTATGGTGGGTATTATGATGGGTATGATGATGGGTATTATGGTGGGTATTATGATGGGTGTTATGATGGGTATTATGGTGGGTATTATGGTGGGTATTATGGTGGGTATTATGATGGGTATTATGGTGGGTATTATGGTGGGTATTATAGTGGGTATTATGGTGGGTATTATGATGGGTATTATGGTGGGTATTATGGTGGGTATTATGATGGGTATTATGGTGGGTATTATGATGGGTATTATGGTGGGTATTATGGTGGGTATTATGGTGGGTATTATGATGGGTATTATGGTGGGTATTATGGTGGGTTATGGTGGGTATTATGGTGGGTATTATGGTGGGTATTATGGTGGGTATTATGGTGGGTATTATGATGGGTATTATGGTGGGTATTATGGTGGGTATTATGGTGGGTATTATGGTGGGTTATGGTGGGTATTATGGTGGGTATTATGTGGGTATTATGGTGGGTATTATGGTGGGTATTATGGTGGGTCATGGTGGGTATTATGGTGGGTATTATGGTGGGTCATATGATGGGTATTATGGTGGGTCATATGTGGGTATTATGTGGGTCATGGTGGGTATTATGGTGGGTATCATGGTGGGTATTATGGTGGGTCATTGTGGTCATGGGTATTATGGTGGGTATCATGGTGGGTATTATGGTGGGTCATGGTGGGTATTATGGTGGGTATTATGGTGGGTATTATGATGGGTCATGGTGGGTATCATGATGGGTATTATGGTGGGTATTATGGTGGGTATTATGGTGGGTATCATGGTGGGTATCATGGTGGGTCATATGTGGGTATTATGGTGGGTATCATGGTGGGTATTATGGTGGGTATCATGGTGGGTATTATGGTGGGTATTTGATGGGTATTATGGTGGGTATTATGGTGGGTATCATGGTGGGTATTATGGTGGGTATTATGGTGGGTTATGGTGGGTATTATGGTGGGTATTATGGTGGGTATCATGGTGGGTCATGGTGGGTATTATGGTGGGTATTATGGTGGGTATCATGATGGGTATTATGGTGGGTATCATGGTGGGTATTTGTGGGTATTATGGTGGGTCATTGTGGGTATTATGGTGGGTCATGGTGGGTATCATGATGGGTCATGGTGGGTATTATAGTGGGTATCATGATGGGTATTATGGTGGGTATTATGGTCATGGGTATTATGGTGGGTATCATGGTGGGTCATGGTGGGTATTATGATGGGTATCATGGTGGGTCATTGTGGGTCATGGTGGGTTATGGTGGGTATCATTGTGGGTCCTATGGTGGGTATCATGGTGGGTCATGGTGGGTATTATGATGGGTATCATGGTGGGTATTATGGTGGGTCATTATGGGCCATGGGTATTATGGTGGGTCATTATGGTGGGTATTATGATGGGTATCATGATGGGTATCATGGTGGGTATTATGGTGGGTCATGGTGGGTGGGTATTATGGTGGGTATTATGGTGGGTATTATGATGGGTATTATGGTGGGTATTATGGTGGGTATTATGGTGGGTATCATGGTGGGTATTATGGAGGGTATTATGGTGGGTATTATAGTGGGTATTATGGTGGGTATCATGATGGGTATTATGGTGGGTATTATGGTGGGTATTATGATGGGTATTATGGTGGGTATTATGGTGGGTATTATGTGGGTATTATGGTGGGTATTATGATGGGTATTATGGTGGGTATTATGGTGGGTATTATGATGGGTATTATGGTGGGTATTATAGTGGGTATTATGATGGGTATTATGGTGGGTATTATGGTGGGTATTATGATGGGTATTATGGTGGGTATTATGATGGGTATTATGATGGGTATTATGGTGGGTCGTATGGAGGGTATTATGGTGGGTATTATGATGGGTATTATGGTGGGTATTATGGTGGGTATTATGGTGGGTATTATGGTGGGTATTATGGAGGGTATTATGGTGGGTATTATAGTGGGTATTATGGTGGGTATTATGATGGGTATTATGGTGGGTATTATGATGGGTATTATGGTGGGTATTATGGTGGGTATTATGGAGGGTATTATGGTGGGTATTATGGTGGGTATTATGATGGGTATTATGATGGGTATTATGGTGGGTATTATGGTGGGTATTATGGTGGGTATTATGGTGGGTATTATGGTGGGTATTATGATGGGTATTATGGTGGGTATTATGGTGGGTATTATGGTGGGTATTATGGTGGGTATTATGGTGGGTATTATGGAGGGTATTATGGTGGGTATTATGGTGGGTATATGGTGGGTATTATGATGGGTTATGGTGGGTATTATGGTGGGTATTATGATGGGTATTATGGTGGGTATTATGGTGGGTATTATTGTGGGTATTATGGTGGGTATTATGATGGGTATTATGGTGGGTATTATGGTGGGTATTATGATGGGTATTATGGTGGGTATGGGTATTTAGTGGGTATTATGGGATGGGTATTATGGTGGGTATTATGGTGGGTATTATGATGGGTATTATGGTGGGTATTATGATGGGTATTATGATGGGTATTATGGTGGGTATTATGGAGGGTATTATGGTGGGTATTATGATGGGTATTATGGTGGGTATTATGGTGGGTATTATGGTGGGTATTATGGTGGGTATTATGATGGGTATTATGGTGGGTATTATGGTGGGTATTATGGTGGGTATTATGATGGGTATTATGGTGGGTATTATGGTGGGTATTATGGTGGGTATCATGGTGGGTATTATGATGGGTATTATGGTGGGTATTATGGTGGGTATTATGGTGGGTATCATGGTGGGTTATGATGGGTATTATGGTGGGTATTATGGTGGGTATTATGGTGGGTATTATGATGGGTATTATGGTGGGTATTATAGTGGGTATTATGATGGGTATTATGGTGGGTATTATGATGGGTATTATGGTGGGTATTATGATGGGTATTATGGTGGGTATTATGATGGGTATTATGATGGGTATTATGTTGGGTATTATGATGGGTATGGTGGGTTATGGTGGGTATTATGATGGGTATTATGGTGGGTATTATGATGGGCATTATGGTGGGTATTATGATGGGTATTATGGTGGGTATTATGGTGGGTATTATGATGGGTATTATGGTGGGTATTATGATGGGTATTATGATGGGTATTATGTTGGGTATTATGATGGGTATTATGGTGGGTATTATGATGGGTATTATGGTGGGTATTATGATGGGTATTATGGTGGGTATTATGTTGGGTATTATGATGGGTATTATGGTGGGTATTATGATGGGTATTATGGTGGGTATTATGTTGGGTATTATGATGGGTATTATGGTGGGTATTATGGTGGGTATTATGGTGGGTATTATGATGGGTATTATGATGGGTTATGGTGGGTATTATGATGGGTTATGGTGGGTATTATGGTGGGTATTATGATGGGTATTATGGTGGGTATTATGGTGGGTATTATGGTGGGTATTATGGTGGGTATTATGATGGGTATTATGATGGGTATTATGTTGGGTATTATGATGGGTATTATGGTGGGTATTATGGTGGGTATTATGGTGGGTATTATGATGGGTATTATGGTGGGTATTATGATGGGTATTATGATGGGTATTATGATGGGTATTATGATGGGTATTATGATGGGTATTATGGTGGGTATTATGATGGGTATTATGGTGGGTATTATGATGGGTATTATGGTGGGTATTATGGTGGGTATTATGGTGGGTATTATGGTGGGTATTATGGTGGGTATTATGATGGGTATTATGATGGGTATTATGTTGGGTATTATGGTGGGTATTATGGTGGGTATTATGTTGGGTATTATGGTGGGTATTATGATGGGTATTATGGTGGTATTACGGGCTCTAGGAATACGGGGTATTTCGAGGCTTAGTTGATTTTAACGGATTTTTATTTTTACGCTTATAACATAAACGTAACGGTATTTACAGCAACACTGTACCCTTGCAACACTGTACCCTTGCAACACTGTACCCTTGCAACACGGTACCCTTGCAACACTGTACCCTTGCAACACGGTACCCTTGCAACACTGTACCCTTGCAACACTGTACCCTTGCAACACTGTACCCTTGCAACACTGTACCCTTGCAACACTGTACCCTTGCAACACTGTACCCTTGCAACACTGTACCCTTGCAACACTGTACCCTTGCAACACTGTACCCTTGCAACACTGTACCCTTGCAACACTGTACCCTTGCAACACTGTACCCTTGCAACACCGTACCCTTGCAACACCGTACAGACAGCCCAGTACCCGTCTACGGTACAGACAGCCCGGTACCCGTGTACGGTACAGACAGCCCAGTACACGTGTACGGTACAGCCAGTCCAGTACCCGTCTACGGTACAGACAGTCCGGTACCCGTCTACGGTACAGACAGCAACTCCCATTTTCTAGTCCGATGATTTTTGGGAGACTATACGTCAAAATACGTCGTGGTATGAGAAGTTGAGGAGGCATCCAAGGAGGCAGCCAAGGAGGCAGCCAAGGAGGCAGCCAAGGAAGCAGCCAAGGAGGCATCCAAGGAGGCAGCCAAGGAGGCAGCCAAGGAGGCAGCCAAGGAGGCAGCCAAGGAGGCAGCCAAGGAAGCATCCAAGGAGGCATCCAAGGAGGCAGCCAAGGAGGCAGCCAAGGAAGCAGCCAAGGAGGCAGCCAAGGAGGCAGCCAAGGAGGCAGCCAAGGAGGCAGCCAAGGAGGCAGCCAAGGAGGCAGCCAAGGAGGCAGCCAAGGAGGCAGCCAAGGAAGCAGCCAAGGAGGCAGCCAAGGAGGCAGCCAAGGAGGCAGCCAAGGAGGCAGCCAAGGAGGCAGCCAAGGAAGCAGCCAAGGAGGCAGCCAAGGAAGCAGCCAAGGAGGCAGCCAAGGAGGCAGCCAAGGAGGCAGCCAAGGAGGCAGCCAAGGAGGCAGCCAAGGAGGCAGCCAAGGGGGCAGCCAAGGAGGCAGCCAAGGACGCAGCCAAGGAGGCAGCCAAGGAGGCAGCCAAGGAGGCAGCCAAGGAGGCAGCCAAGGAGGCAGCCAAGGAGGCAGCCAAGGAGGCAGCCAAGGAGGCAGCTAAGGAGGCAGCCAAGGGGGCAGCCAAGGAGGCAGCCAAGGAAGCAGCCAAGGAGGCAGCCAAGGAGGCAGCCAAGGAGGCAGCCAAGGAAGCAGCCAAGGAGGCAGCCAAGGAGGCAGCCAAGGAGGCAGCCAAGGAGGCAGCCAAGGAGGCAGCCAAGGAGGCAGCCAAGGAAGCAGCCAAGGAAGCAGCCAAGGAGGCAGCCAAGGAGGCAGCCAAGGAGGCAGCCAAGGAGGCAGCCAAGGAGGCAGCCAAGGGGGCAGCCAAGGAGGCAGCCAAGGAAGCAGCCAAGGAGGCAGCCAAGGAAGCAGCCAAGGAGGCAGCCAAGGGGGGCAGCCAAGGAAGCAGCCAAGGAGGCAGCCAAGGAGGCAGCCAAGGAAGCAGCCAAGGAAGCAGCCAAGGAGGCAGCCAAGGAGGCAGCCAAGGAGGCAGCTAAGGAGGCAGCCAAGGGGGCAGCCAAGGAGGCAGCCAAGGAGGCAGCCAAGGAGGCAGCCAAGGAAGCAGCCAAGGAAGCAGCCAAGGAGGCAGCCAAGGAAGCAGCCAAGGAGGCAGCCAAGGAGGCAGCCAAGGAGGCAGCCAAGGAGGCAGCCAAGGAAGCAGCCAAGGAGGCAGCCAAGGAGGCAGCCAAGGAGGCAGTACATAACTACCCCGGGATAACAACAACCCAACAACTACACAACACCTGAGACAACAGTCACCACATGGTTGGGAAACTTTACAGTTAAACTCACCTAGTTGGCAACACTTAGTGGTTGACGCAGTGTATTACTGCAGGGAATGTGCGGTTCTGGGGGGGGGGCTCTTGCGTCACGCAGTCTGCTCTCTGGGGGATCTTGCGTCACGCAGTGTGCTCTCGGGGGGGCTCTTGCGTCACGCAGTGTGCTCTCTGGGGGGCTCTTGCGTCACGCAGTGTGCTCTCTGAGGGCTCTTGTGTCACGCAGTGTGCTCTCTGGGGGGCACTTGCGTCACGCAGTGTGCTCTCTGGGGGGGCTCTTGCGTCACGCAGTGTGCTCTCTGGGGGGTTCTTGTCTCACGCAGTGTGCTCTCTGGGGGCTCTTGCGTCACGCAGTGTGCTCTCTGGGGGCTCTTGCGTCACGCAGTGTGCTCTCTGGGGGGCTCTTGCGTCACGCAGTGTGCTCTCTGGGGGGGGGGGGCTCTTGCGTCACGCAGTGTGCTCTCTGGGGGGCTCTTGCGTCACGCAGTGTGCTCTCTGGGGGGCTCTTGCGTCACGCAGTGTGCTCTCTGGGGGGCTCTTGCGTCACGCAGTGTGCTCTCTGGGGGGGCTCTTGCGTCACGCAGTGTGCTCTCTGGGGGCTCTTGCGTCACGCAGTGTGCTCTCTGGGGGCTCTTGCGTCACGCAGTGTGGGGGGCTCTTGCGTCACGCAGTCTGCTCTCTGGGGGGGCTCTTGCGTCACGCAGTGTGCTCTCTGGGGGGCTCTTGCGTCACGCAGTCTGCTCTCTGGGGGGCTCTTGCGTCACGCAGTCTGCTCTCTGGGGGGCTCTTGCGTCACGCAGTGTGCTCTCTGGGGGGGCTCTTGCGTCACGCAGTCTGCTCTCTGGGGGGCTCTTGCGTCACGCAGTGTGCTCTCTGGGGGGCTCTTGCGTCACGCAGTCTGCTCTCTGGGGGGCTCTTGCGTCACGCAGTGTGCTCTCTGGGGGCTCTTGCGTCACGCAGTGTGCTCTCTGGGGGGCTCTTGCGTCACGCAGTGTGCTCTCTGGGGGGCTCTTGCGTCACGCAGTGTGCTCTCTGGGGGGCTCTTGCGTCACGCAGTGTGCTCTCTGGGGGGCTCTTGCGTCACGCAGTGTGCTCTCTGGGGGCTCTTGCGTCACGCAGTGTGCTCTCTGGGGGGCTCTTGCGTCACGCAGTCTGCTCTCTGGGGGGCTCTTGCGTCACGCAGTGTGCTCTCTGGGGGGCTCTTGCGTCACGCAGTGTGCTCTCTGGGGGGCTCTTGCGTCACGCAGTGTGCTCTCTGGGGGGCTCTTGCGTCACGCAGTGTGCTCTCTGGGGGGCTCTTGCGTCACGCAGTGTGCTCTCTGGGGGGGCTCTTGAGTCATGCAGTGTGCTCTCTGGGGGGCTCTTGCGTCACGCAGTGTGCTCTCTGGGGGGCTCTTGCGTCACGCAGTGTGCTCTCTGGGGGGCTCTTGCGTCACGCAGTGTGCTCTCTGGGGGGCTCTTGCGTCACGCAGTGTGCTCTCTGGGGGGCTCTTGCGTCACGCAGTGTGCTCTCTGGGGGGCTCTTGCGTCACGCAGTGTGCTCTCTGGGGGGCTCTTGCGTCACGCAGTGTGCACGCAGTGTCTCTGGGGGGCTCTTGCGTCACGCAGTCTGCTCTCTGGGGGGGCTCTTGCGTCACGCAGTGTGCTCTCTGGGGGGCTCTTGCGTCACGCAGTGTGCTCTCTGGGGGGGGCTCTTGCGTCACGCAGTGTGCTCTCTGGGGGGCTCTTGCGTCACGCATTGTGCTCTCTGGGGGGGCTCTTGTGTGCTCTCTGGGGGGCTCTTGCGTCACGCAGTGTGCTCTCTGGGGGGGCTCTTGCGTCACGCAGTGTGCTCTCTGGGGGGCTCTTGCGTCACGCAGTGTGCTCTCTGGGGGGCTCTTGCGTCACGCAGTGTGCTCTCTGGGGGGCTCTTGCGTCACGCAGTCTGCTCTCTGGGGGGCTCTTGCGTCACGCAGTCTGCTCTCTGGGGGGCTCTTGCGTCACGCAGTGTGCTCTCTGGGGGGCTCTTGCGTCACGCAGTCTGCTCTCTGGGGGGGGGGCTCTTGCGTCACGCAGTGTGCTCTCTGGGGGGCTCTTGCGTCACGCAGTCTGCTCTCTGGGGGGCTCTTGCGTCACGCAGTGTGCTCTCTGGGGGGCTCTTGTGTCACGCAGTGTGCTCTCTGGGGGGCTCTTGCGTCACGCAGTGTGCTCTCTGGGGGGCTCTTGCGTCACGCAGTGTGCTCTCTCGGGGGCTCTTGCGTCACGCAGTGTGCTCTCTGCGGGGGCTCTTGCGTCACGCAGTGTGCTCTCTGGGGGGCTCTTGCGTCACGCAGTGTGCTCTCTGGGGGGCTCTTGCGTCACGCAGTGTGCTCTCTGGGGGGCTCTTGCGTCACGCAGGTGCTCTCTGGGGGGCTCTTGCGTCACGCAGTCTGCTCTCTGGGGGGCTCTTGCGTCACGCAGTCTGCTCTCTGGGGGGCTCTTGCGTCACGCAGTGTGCTCTCTGGGGGGCTCTTGCGTCACGCAGCTCCTCTCACGCAGTGTGCTCTCTGGGGGGCTCTTGTGTCACGCAGTCTGCTCTCTGGGGGGCTCTTGCGTCACGCAGTCTGCTCTCTGGGGGGCTCTTGCGTCACGCAGTGTGCTCTCTGGGGGGCTCTTGTGTCACGCAGTGTGCTCTCAGGGGGCTCTTGCGTCACGCAGTCTGGGGGCTCTTGTGTCACGCAGTGTGCTCTCTGGGGGGCTCTTGCGTCACGCAGTGTGCTCTCTGGGGGGCTCTTGTGTCACGCAGTGTGCTCTCTGGGGGGCTCTTGCGTCACGCAGTCTGCTCTCTGGGGGGCTCTTGCGTCACGCAGTCTGCTCTCTGGGGGGCTCTTGCGTCACGCAGTCTGCTCTCTGGGGGGCTCTTGCGTCACGCAGTCTGCTCCCAGGGGGGGGGGGGTTGTGTCACGCAGTCTGCTCCCAGGGGGGGGGGTTGTGTCACACAGTCTGCTCCCAGGGGGGGGGGGGGTTGTGTCACACAGTCTGCTCCCAGGGGGGGTTGTGTCACACAGTCTGCTCCCAGGGGGGGGTTGTGTCACACAGTCTGCTCCCAGGGGGGGGGTTGTGTCACACAGTCTGCTCCCAGGGGGGGGGTTGTGTCACACAGTCTGCTCCCAGGGGGGGGGGTTGTGTCACACAGTCTGCTCCCAGGGGGGGGTTGTGTCACACAGTCTGCTCCCAGGGGGGGGGTTGTGTCACACAGTCTGCTCCCAGGGGGGGGGGGTTGTGTCACACAGTCTGCTCCCAGGGGGGGGGGTTGTGTCACACAGTCTGCTCCCAGGGGGGGGGGGTGTCACACAGTCTGTGTGTCACACAGTCTGCTCCCAGGGGGGGGGTTGTGTCACACAGTCTGCTCCCAGGGGGGGTTGTGGGGGGGGGGGGTTGTGTCACACAGTCTGCTCCCAGGGGGGGGGGGGTTGTGTCACACAGTCTGCTCCCAGGGGGGGGGGGGTTGTGTCACACAGTCTGCTCCCAGGGGGGGGGGTTGTGTCACACAGTCTGCTCCCAGTCTGCTCCAAGGGGGGGGGTTGTGTCACACAGTCTGCTCCCAGGGGGGGGGTTGTGTCACACAGTCTGCTCCCAGGGGGGGGGTTGTGTCACACAGTCTGCTCCCAGGGGGGGGGGTTGTGTCACACAGTCTGCTCCCAGGGGGGGGGGTTGTGTCACACAGTCTGCTCCCAGGGGGGGGGGTTGTGTCACACAGTCTGCTCCCAGGGGGGGGGGGGTTGTGTCACACAGTCTGCTCCCAGGGGGGGGGGGTTGTGTCACACAGTCTGCTCCCAGGGGGGGGGGGGTTGTGTCACACAGTCTGCTCCCAGGGGGGGGGGTTGTGTCACACAGTCTGCTCCCAGGGGGGGGGGGTTGTGTCACACAGTCTGCTCCCAGGGGGGGGGGGTTGTGTCACACAGTCTGCTCCCAGGGGGGGGGGTTGTGTCACACAGTCTGCTCCCAGGGGGGGGGGGGGGGTTGTGTCACACAGTCTGCTCCCAGGGGGGGGGGGTTGTGTCACACAGTCTGCTCCCAGGGGGGGGGGGTTGTGTCACACAGTCTGCTCCCAGGGGGGGGTTGTGTCACACAGTCTGCTCCCAGGGGGGGGGGGTTGTGTCACACAGTCTGCTCCCAGGGGGGGGGGGTTGTCCCAGGGGGGGGGGGGTTGTGTCACACAGTCTGCTCCCAGGGGGGGGGTTGTGTCACACAGTCTGCTCCCAGGGGGGGGGGGGTTGTGTCACACAGTCTGCTCCCAGGGGGGGGGGTTGTGTCACACAGTCTGCTCCCAGGGGGGGGGGTTGTGTCACACAGTCTGCTCCCAGGGGGGGGGGGGGGGTTGTGTCACACAGTCTGCTCCCAGGGGGGGGGGGTTGTGTCACACAGTCTGCTCCCAGGGGGGGGGGTTGTGTCACACAGTCTGCTCCCAGGGGGGGGGTTGTGTCACACAGTCTGCTCCCAGGGGGGGGGGGGGGTTGTGTCACACAGTCTGCTCCCAGGGGGGGGGTTGTGTCACACAGTCTGCTCCCAGGGGGGGGGGGGTTGTGTCACACAGTCTGCTCCCAGGGGGGGGGGGTTGTGTCACACAGTCTGCTCCCAGGGGGGGGGTTGTGTCACACAGTCTGCTCCCAGGGGGGGGGTTGTGTCACACAGTCTGCTCCCAGGGGGGGGGTGTGTCACACAGTCTGTCCCACAGTCTGCTCCCAGTCTGCTCCCAGGGG